GGAAGAGCGCAATGATAAAATACCAACATGGGCTAGTGAAGCGACATCCTCCACAACTAGACTGAAGAACTAAAGGACAGCAACTTATCTGTTCCCCTTTCCCGATTCCCCAATGCTGTTCCCCTCTCCCAATTCCCCAATAAAATCTTTAAAAAAAAAATGGGTTGACTGTTTGCAAGGTTACCCCCCTTGGGGGATGGCAGGGGTCTATCAGGCAGATTACCTAACTAGTGCTGATCAGACAATGTCTGCTCCACTGGTTTATAAGACTATTGCTGTGAGAGCCAAAATAAGTCTATAATTAATTTAAATCTCAATTTGGTGACTTGGGGCTTAGCATAAGCAACTCCATTTTGGGCCTCTTGCCTTATTCTTTAACACTGTTCAGTGGATTTGAAGCCCTTGATCTTATAGATTCAGGCTTTTAAAATTTTTTCTTAGTGAGGTAGAGGGACTGAGTCTGGGAAATCCCCTTCCCCTAGCTGCTATTGTAATACATTATCTGTTCTCTTAGGCTGTAGGTCAGATGTCCTTCCTCTAGCTGTTTAATTCTTTTGCTCTGTAAGGGGAATGACCTGGGTGGAGTTCACCGAGATTCTGTTCCCCTTCCCTAGACAGCACATCAAGGATACTTTCTCCTGATTGTCTTCTATCTTCCCTGTGAAATTGATGTAGGATATTTCTTGTGCCGGGGTCATAGTCTCATGAAGCCGAAGAATGGAGACATGGACCAGAGAGGTAAAGTTTGCAGCAGAGGAGAGTTTTATTAAAGCAAGAGAAGGGTTACAGTTCCCGAGCAGGAGGGGGTAACCAGAAAATGAGATGCCCACTAGCTAGGGTAAAAAGCTTGAGTTTTATACTTTTTTTCTGCCTGGAAGGGGGAATGCTGAAATACTGATGGTGCCTGTTATTAAGGGGTTTATCAGATTTGTTCTGTTGCTCAGTCTTGGGAAGGCCTTACATAATGCCCTCCAAAATGGCTTTGTTGCTCTGGGGCATGATTGATGTCTCCGTTCCAGTATGAGGGAGTTATCCTATAATTTTGAAGGAATGGCTAGTTTAAGGAATGGCCAGTTTTTTCTTATCTTTGCTCAGTTTACCAGGGAATTCCTGACTGCCTGGTATTATACTAACTAACCTGTCTTAAAATCCTGATGCAGTTCCTGGAGAGAAAGCCTGCAATGGAAACTTGAATGGCTGCAGACTCTCACACCAGCCCACACTCGCCCTCTAGCAATTTGTCAGATTTTTAATTTTAATCAGTCTACCAACTCTGATTTCTCAGTGGCTTTTGTCTCAGTTAAGCAAATGTTTGTAGATGTAAGAACACCAAAACCTGTAGAGAATGTTTGCAAAAATTTATTTGAGCCAAACAGAGGATGTGCCTACAAGCAAGATCTCAACAGACTGAGAAAAATGCATTTAGAATGACAGTTTACAGTTTCTTTTATGCATTTGGAATTAAGGAAGGAAGGAAGGAAAATTGAATGAAGGTGATAGAAAGCAATTATAGGATAGTTAACAAGATTATGTGACCCTTGAAGGTGGTTACCTCTGAGAGATCTGAAAAGAAGCATTTCAAAGGTGTATGGCCGTGAGGCATTGGTGGTTCAGTGGTAGAATTCTCAAAGGTGTATGGCCAAGGCTTCCTTAAGGCAAAGATAAACCTTTTACTAGTGAAGTTATATGCCAGGTCATCACTACCCACTCTGACCTGCTCAGTTAGGAATTTATGATCAGAGCACCCTGTAAGGTTACTTTCCATAGATCCCCCCCCCTTTTTTTTTTCAAAGATTTTATTGGGTAACTGGGGGAGGGAACAGCATTGGGGAATCGGGGAAGGGGAATAGACAAGTTGCTGTCCTTTTATTCTTCAGTCTAGTTGTGGAGGACATCACTTCATTGGCTCATGCTGGTATTGTGATCATTGTGCTCTTCCTGGCTGAGACAGATCAGTTGCCAGCCTTTGGGCAGCTGCTCATGGCAGCTCACGCCAGCTGCCAGCCTCTCACGGTAGCTTACAGCAGCCCACTGCAGCCTACGCTGTCACTGGCGACTCAGGGCAGCCCAGCTCCAGGTTGAGCTATTGTTCACCATCTTAGCTGTGGAGGGCAGTGTCACTGGCCCTCATATGTGGGATCCAAACCGGGGCCCTCTGGCGTCCCAAGCCAGCTCTTAACCATCGCACCACTCGGCTGGCCCCATACACCCTCTTTTTGTCCACATGTTTGAGTCCAGTGTCCCCCTGAAGGTGCTTGTCTTCAGATTTTAAAAGAACAATTGTCCTTTGTCCTCAGTTCTATCATGTAATCATGAAAAGTTGTTAATTTACTGTCTGTTAAGCTTTATCTTGTAAGGATAGGAAGGAAGTCGTTCCAGCTCTCTACATCCTTGACCTGAAAATAAAAGTAATTATCACACTTTTTAATGTATATCAATCCAGTGGGTGTGCTGGCTTATTATTACTTTAATTAATATTTCCTTGATTATTAGTGATGATGATCATGTTGTAATGAGCTTTATTGATAATTTGAATTAGCTCTTTTATGAATTTCCTAGTTCACATAATTGCCAGTTTTTTAAATGGATTTTTTTTTACCTTTTATTTTCAATTTGGAAGAGCTCTTTTAATCTGTCCTACATGTTGTGGATGGAAAAGTGGCCACAGGTTAAACCTGACAAGCTCAGGAGACTAAAAATAACCATATAAGATGGCATGAGCATAAAAAAAAAAATTTTATAACTAAGTGGGCCAATGGCAGGAAGTCACACATTAAACTTCTTTCATTAAATTAATCTGTGCCTTTTCAGTGGGCCTGTTCCTTGTCTTTTTGTACCTAAAATAACATCTTTAATCCTTTTTCCAGACCAGAGCTGGAAACTGCATAATTCTTTATTATGCTTGTCTCCTGGTTACCATCTCTATGTGCTGAAAAGAGGGAACTGTTAGCTATCCTGCACCCACCTGTGTAAAAGAAGTACCTGTCTCTCCAATTTACTTTTATCCAATCCCAGAGGTTTCCCCGCTTTGCTTTCTCCCACCCCCTTAATCTATCACCCGTGGATTTCATGTAACCTTCCTCCTTTGAATTTATGTATAAAATAAGCTGTAAAACTGCCATTCTTCAGAGCATTTTGCAATCCATTGAGATTTTGCTTCCCAGCAATTGTCATCGGTTTGGCTCAAATAAACTCTTATAAGTTTTCTCTTAGGCTGGATGTTTTTTGTCAACAATGTGAACTGTGAATACATTTTCTCAGTCTGTCTGGATTGTTTTAGTCCCTCAAAGGTATATAATTATTGTGTAAATAAATTTTTTTCCTTTTCTTTTATACTTTGCCGGGAGCCGTCTGCACCTCAGTATCTGACATGGCCAAACACACTGCAATTGTGACAAATTCTGAAGCTCTGACTGAGAAACAGATACTGCTTTATATCTTAGAAGATTTAAATTCCCCTTTGGATGCCCCCCAGTAGGACGAAGATCTTACACCCCTTCTAATAGATATATCACAATAATTCTATTTTATACACTAAAGGCAATTTTAGTCACACTACTAGTCTCTTAGTAAAGGTCAAAGTACATACCCTATAAATCTTAAGATCCTGCTTAGCTAATAGTGTTTAGGATAATTGTTGAGTAGTCACATAGTCACTTCACTATAGGTAAAAAGATTAGCATTAGTCACATAATCACTATAGGTAAAAGGATTAGCCTTAGTCACATAAGTCACTATAGGTAAAAAGGATTAAAACACAGATAAGATAAGTTGATCTTTTAGCATAAGAAAAAGTCAAGCTGTACCCTGGAGCATAAGAATTAGATGTAAAACCCTGATCTAAACTATGTAAAAGAACTTTTTACTGATGAGATAATGGTCAACTGCCCACTATAAAAAGGGGCGTGCTGTAGAATAAAGTGAGACACTTCTCTTCTTGAAAAAGCGCTCCTGTGTCTCTGCGCGTCTTTCTTCTTTTTCCTCCCCGACTCCGCCTCCACCTGAGGGAACCCCTGGACCCCGCGGGAGCTGGTCTCCCGCAATACTTTTTGTCTTCATATAAAAGTTTCCACGATCTCTACATTGTACATAGGTTTTTATTTGTTATTGTGTTCTCACTCACTAAAATGCAATCTTCATGTGGAAAGGGATCCCACCTATCTTGTTTATCATTGTATAACCAGTATCAACAACAGTGTCTAGCATATGGCGACAACTTAATAAATATTTTTAAATAAATAAATAAATATTTTGTTTCTTTGAAGTCTATGTATACACACCATAATGGAATCAACTAAAATGGTCTGAAGTGGAGAAAGGACATTTTCACTTCACAATATGGCATATGACCTTTACCCTAACAGTGTAACAAGACCGCCAGCTATTTAAGTATCTCAAAACTCAAGACTCATAAAAAGATCCAATAAGGTCCAGATTTTTAAATGAATTATTCACTGATGATCTTTCTATTAAAATTTTACATTACACATCTCCTGTATATCACATGAACATCACCCTAAAACTTTTGCTGTGCAAGTGGAAACCTCATCTGGTAATTCTTCACCTGACCAAATGGTTCCCATTGGTCTAACAGATTCCTCCATGAATTTATTCCCTGTCTACGCTAGATAGATCAACCATGAATACTTCTCCATGGGGACCAATCAGAGCTTTTTTCCTGGGATTTTTAAACATTGTACCATTGGAAAAAATAAATGCCAGCAAAAAAAAAATGACAGTAGTAAAGCTAGGAGATAATAGTTGATATCTAGTTCTTGTTTTAGCCAAGCCAAATTTCTTATTTCTTCAATATGAATTTTCTGTCCTTTTTCTGATTTTGTTAGTGAACAAATTCATCTTTTCCCTCAAGCTAAGTTGAGTTTCTGACATTAGAACTTAAGATCCTGAAATATCACAGAAATAGACTAAAATTTTCATCTCTCTCTCTCCCTCTCTCTCTCTCTCTCTCTCTCTCTCTCTCTCTCTCTCTCACCCACCAGGAGTCCTTGTTCTCAAATTCTGAGACTCAAGTCTAACTCTCAGGTAGCTACCACCATCAACTTTTATCCTCTGACTTGGTATGTATGCAAGTATGTGTACAAGATGGAGGGTTTGTTTACATAGCAGTTTGGAAACCAAACTTATACAGTTATTTTGATGAACCAGCGACATTTCTATCTTAGTATGATACCAGGACACACTGCTAAATTAAGTTACATGTTCATCACAAAGTTTAGCCCATACTGAACTTTATCTTTTCTGTCTAGTGGCTGAAATATGACTTCATTTGTGACACTTCCAACTCCTCACCCATGTTAGTTTTGGAAAGAATTCAAAGAATTTTTTTAAAAACTGGGCTTTAGACAAATGTGTTTGAGTCTGAAAAATTAATCCTTAGAAAGTTTTATCCTATTAAGTAAAAGCCTATGTTATTTTTTCTACATGTTTGAGAGTTTGAATATGTATCCAGAATTTAATTTTGTGCTTATTATTATGTGAAGTGTGTATCTCTTCACTTAGTGCTTATCAAGGAAGGACCTATACACAGATATTTTCTATCAAGCCAGATATTTTTCTGATCTGAATCTTATTGAAGGGCCAAATAAAAAAAAATTATAGATTGCTATTTGTAACATGCAAATACATACTTACATTTAAATTAGTGCCATAAGATTCTAAACATTAAAAAGTAGTCTACTCACAGTAGGGTCTCAGGTAAATTTTAAAATGTAGAACTCAAACTTTAGGTAAGGAAAATTTTTCTTCCTTCAAATTTAAGTGAGTAGGTTTCCTAACTTCCTTATTTTTAAATAAACTTTTTATCTTAGAACAGGCTTAGATTTACAGTTAAGTTGCAAAGATAGTACATAGAATTTCCATATAGCCTACACCCCGTTTCTCCCATTTTTCAACTTATATTACTGTGGTACATTTGGCACAATGAGTCAATATTGATACATTGTTATTAAATTTATACTTGATTTGGATTTCCTTAGTTTTTACTTACTGTCCTTTTTCTGTTCCAGGATCTCACCAGGATACCACATATTCAGTCATCATGCCTTCTTAGGTTCCTCCTGGCTGTGATAGTATCTCAGACTTCCATTGTTTATAATGACCTTAACAGCTTTGAGTACTAGTCAGGTATTTTAGAAAATGTACTTTGATGGCAGTTTGTTTTTCTGATGATTAGGCTGGAGTTATAAGTTTGGGGGAGGAAAACTACAGAAGTAAAGTACCATTCTCATTACATAGTATCAAGAATATGTGCTATCAACTTGACTTATCACTATTGATGTTGACCTTGATCATCCAGCTGAGATAGTGTTTTTCAGCTTCCTCCATAATAAAGCCATTTTCCCTGCCCTCCTCTCCCCCCCATACTGGGCTCTTTGGTAAGAAGTCATTATGCCCACATTTAAGGAATGGGAGTTATGCTCCACCTGCTTGAGGGCCTAATTTCCTTCTAAAATGTTTTTTCATATTGAATACATAGAAATAAGGTGAGGAAAAAAAAGCTATTGAGTGATTAGTTGCGAAGTCCATCATGACATCTGATATTTAAAAATTTTTTATCTCTATACATACATGTATATTAAGTGATTATGTATATAAATACAAACCTGTATTAAAAATAATGTATATAATATGATCGTCTTTATTGAGGGTGAAGATTTTTAGGTTGTATTGTGGCAATGGGCCCTAGACAAAGACCTTCCCAGACCATGTGGTCACTGAGGATTTTGTGAGGGCTTCAGACAAAGACATTCCTGAACTGTATGGTCAGCAAGACTTCCGCGTTTAACATTTCCAAATTCCTACCACACCTGAGAGCCAGTCAGGAACTGGCACAAGGCTGTATGTCCTAATAAGGAACCCGGAAACCTTAGGGTATATAGCCCTGAGTCCCGCCTGGGTCAGAGCTTAGCCTCTGGACGTGAATCCGCTGAGCCAGTGCCGACATTAGTAAAAGTTGCTTCCCATGCCTTGGTGTCCTGTGTGTGTTTGTCTGGGTTCCCCGCAACAATATGTCATGCTGTGGACTGAAAAATATCTTATTTTTGAAAACAAAATCCTATTTCTTCTAAATACCAACTCTTCCCAGAATGTTGGTTTTGGAAGAAGAATCTAGGTGAAAGTTTGCTTTGACATGTCTTTGGGATGAAATTACTTTCTCTGCTTCATAAAGATAGTTTGGACTCCAAATACAATTTTCCTCTACCAATAAGCAAAAATGGACACAAAACGGTAACATGAATAAAATATTCAAAATAATCTTCAACAACTGATACTTTTTCTTCACTGTACTTAAGTAAAGGCTGTAGAGCATGAGTTGCTTAAATAAAAGATAAAGGAAGAGATCATAAAGAGTGAAACAGTTCTAATAGTTCTGATTTCATGAGAGGCTCTAGGTGAAAAGTTATTGCTGTGAAGATGTTCAATATTTTTCCTGTGTCTGTAAAGGAAAATCACAAAGCAGCCTCTGGACCAACTCATGAAAATGAGAAAAATTAAGTCCTGAATTGTGATAACGCTCATATTCATGAATGTCATTATATTTTCTGTGTGCTGCAGCTAAACACATTTTTACTGAAAAATTTTTGGTGATAACGACATTTGATAGTGTCGGTGAATGGCACAATCCTGACATAGAAGGAACTGTTGATGACCCAGAATGAAAGAAGAAATGCCATACTGTTTGTGTGCATTCTGTCTATCAGCCATGTCCACCTGGATTTGCTGGGGCTGATGGTATGGGCCTGGACCATGCTTAAGGAAACATGTTGTACAAAATGAAAGTCCCTGAGATACTCTGTATAAAAATTCAAATACTTTATACCCAGTATAATTTAAAAGATTTTTAATACCAAAAGATTTTACTGTCAAGGGAAAGACATTGCTGAAAAGTGGCATTATAAGTAACAGACACGTGATGGGAAATCAAGTCCTTGGGCTTCTTTTGTTGGGGACATATCAAAAAGATGTAAATATGCACCAGAAGTAGCAGTAAGTTCCCCCAAATCCCAATGCCAGTATGAGAAATGAATAAATTCCCATAATCATATCATCGAAAAGCCTGGTGTTACAGGATCTGAAAAAGGTACAAATATTATACAGGTCAGCATAAAAAGACTTTTTAAAAAGTCAAAATTAAAATATAAATTGAAAGCAGGAAGTGAGGATGCATGCCTTTGGTTGTACTATTTTTTATTTCCCTATACATTTATAATCAGTAAGAGTGATAATGTTTTGAACCAAAAAATGTAAAGATCACAGAACAATTTTAATTTTTCTTATTATTGATTATTAAGAATGTTTTGCAGTTTCAGCTTGCAGAATAATTTTTACAATCCTATACTCCCTTGTAAAGCAAAAATTGCCTGTAAGTTGCAAAAATAGTACAGAAGGTCCTAGTGAACCCATCACCCTGCTTCCCTCAATGGTAACATCCTTAATAACACTATATTATCAAACCTTAAAATTGGCATTGATTAATACAGTTAACTAGGTTACAGGCCTTACCAGTTTTTTCATGCACTCATTTTTGAAAAATGTTTTTGTGGATAGACCTGTGACATTTTTATCACAAATATAATATGACCACCGCCAGAATCAAGACGCAGAGCTGTTATATCATTACTAAATAACTCTTGCTTGCTACTCCTCTTGCAGTCACACTCTTTGACATCCCTGCCCCCAACCTCTGGCAAACCACTGATCTTTTTCATCTTTATAATTTTGTCACTTGGAGAAATGTATGATTCTTTGAGATTGGCTTTTTTAAAATCAGCATAATGCTCTTAACATACTTCCAAATTAAGTGTATCAGTAGTTTGGGTTTTGATTGTTTTTAAAGATTTTATTGGGGAATTGGGGAAGGGGAACATTGTGTTTTTCCAGGACCCATCAGCTCCAAGTCAAGTTGTCCTTCAATCTTAGTTGTGGAGGGCGCAAGCTCAGCTCCAAGTCCAGTGGTCGCTTTCAATCTAGTGTGTGTGGGGGTGGGGGTGGGTGGAGCATAGTCCACCATCCCATGCAGGAGTCCAATCGACAACCTTGTTGCACACTGAGCCATCCGGCCACTTAATATTTTCAATGTCCAATCTAAATTCAAATTTCCCCAATTTTCTCCAAATTACTTATGGCAGGGAAAACGCTGTTGTTTCAGTCGGGAGCCACTAGAGGGCCACCTTTGCATTTGCCATAAGAGTTCAAGTTTAAACCTTAACCTCCTCCGAGTCTGAAGGAACCTGGGCAGGAGACTTTTTAAAAAATTATTCTCCGCTTCCAAAATGCAGAAAGGCCTTAATAACTTCAGGAGTGGACGCGGAGGTCTATGGGAAATGTAGTCTTCCATGTGTGTCGCTCACCGCACGGCACTCTGGGAAGGGAATTCTGGGCTGCTTCTGCGCAAGTGCAGCTATAATTCCATCTCCTTATTCTACTCCTGGGAAGCTGTTTGGCAACTTGTACGCCTCTTCGGAAGGCAAAGGGCGCGCATTTGGGGTGAGAGCGCGGGGCCGAGTTGAGAGGGGTGCGCTTATGCCTAGGGTTGGGAGAGGGCAGTCCTTGGGACCGCTCCTCTCCCCTAGCGCCTGGTGTATGTGCCAAAGGGTCCTCGGCCCTCGGGGAGGCACGGAAAGGTGTGGGGGCTACCCCGGCCCTCGAGCTCCCTGGTCGCAGGTGAGGCTGAACCCCCAGGAGCAGGTGCTCGGTGCGGGCCGGGGTGCAGGAACCTTGTGTCCGGCCCCGCCTGCCGCGGGACCTAAGAAAAGCCCGTGCTGATGACGGACGGGAAAGCGCGTTTATAATGTCGGCAAGTGAGTCTGCGGTGGGAGCCCGATCTCTAGAGCAAAAAAAAAAAACTTGGTATTTGTAAATTCCAGCTCTGTCATCTGTAGGCCGGGGCGACAGAAGGAACCTGGTTAAGAGTCTGTTTTCTCATCTGAAAATTAGGATATTAATGACTGTTTCATGGTGGTTTTGAAACTTAGATCTAAGGCATCACTTGAAAAATATTCAGGCAAGTGGGAAGCATTGAATAAGTGACAAGGGCTATTCTGTTTGAAAGACACTATGCTCTGTTCTTTATATTGAATGGCTTAATGTAACCTCACAAACACTTTAACAAAAACCGAGGCTCAGGTTGGTGGAGCGGTGTGCTCAAGTCATGAGCTCTGATTCAAGGGATGCTGTGCTTTATAGACATATATCTTGGAGATATTGCGGGTTGGTTCCAGATCACAGCAATAAAACGCAGGTGGAGGATCTCACCTTCAATTTATGAAAAACGCAACATCTGTGGAGCACAATAAAATGAGGTACTTACAATCTCAGACTTTGTTTATTTGCTTTTTAAATAATTGTCTTATTTTTCAATTAGTTGACATATAATACAGAGGGTGCCAAAAAAATGTATACGCATTTTAAGAAAGGAACACTGTATTAAAATTGTAATACTCAATATACACCGATAACAAAAGATGAATGCAAGTCACATTTGACTTCTGCAATTACAAGAGGTGCTCAAAGTGGTGACCATCAGTGTCCAGACACTCCTTATTACAGCAAACTACTGCTTGAGCAACGTTGATCTAACTGTCCACTTGTATACATTTTTGGCACCCCCCAGTATATTAATTTCAGGTGTGCAACATAGTGAGTAGACATTTATATAACTTATGAAGTGATCACCCTAACAAATCTAGTACCCATCTGACATCCTACATAGTTATTACAATATTATTGATTATATTCCTTAATGCTATACTTTACGCATGACCATTTTGTAACTACCAATTCGTACTTTTTAATCCCTTTCCCTTTTTCACCCACTTCCCAACCCCCCTCCCAGCTGACAACCATCAAAATGTTTTCTGTATCTATAAGACTGTTTGTTTTGTTTGTTTATTTTGTCCTTGAGATTCCACATGTAAGTGAAATCATATGGCATTTGTCTTTGTCTTTCTGACTTACTCCACTCAGCACAATACCTTCTAGGTCCATCAATGTTGTTGCAGATGGCAAGATTTCATTCTTTTTTGTGACTGAGTAATATTCCGTTGTGTATATGTTCCACCTCGCTTTTATCCGTTCATCCATTTGTGGACACCCAGTATGCCTCCATTTCTTGGCCATTGTAAACAGTGCTGCAATGAACATATGGATGCACATGTCCCTTTGAGAGGTAGCATTTTGGATTTCTTCAGATAAATACCCTGAAATGGGATTACTGTGCCCTTTTTTGTTTCTTGTTATAGCCTTTGTTTCAAAGTATTTTGTCTAAGTATTGTTACTCCAGATTTTTTTTTTTAATCTCCATTTTCATGAAATATCGTTTTCCATCCCTTTACTTTCAGTCTGTGTCTTTTTTGATATGAAGTAAGTATCTGGTAGGCAGCATATCTAAGGGTTTTGTTTTACCCATTCAGCCATCCTATCTTGATTCGAGCATTTAATCCACTTACATATAAAGAAATTGTTGAAAGGTATGTAGTTATTGCCATTTTGTTATACATACTTTTGATCTTTTTTCTTCTTCTTCTTAAAGAAGTCCCTCTAACATTTCTTGTAATACTGGTTTGGTGATGATGAACTCCTTTAGCTCATTCTTGTCTGGGAAGCTCTTGATCTCTCCTTCAATTCTGAATGATAACTTTGCTGGGTAGAGCCTGGTTGTAGGTCCTTGCTTTTCATCACTTTGAATATTTCCTGCCAATACCTTCTGGCCTGCTAAGTTTCTGTTGAGAAATCAGCTGCCAGTCTTAAGGGAGCTGCCTTGTAGGTAAAAAACTGCTTATCTCTTGCTTCTTTTAAGATTCTTTGTCTTTAACCTTTGGCGTTTTAATTATGATGTGTCTTGGTGTTGGCTTCTTTGGGTTCATCTTGTTTGGGAATCTGCACTTCCTGGGCTTGTATATATTTATTTCCTTTGCCACTTAGGGAAGTTTTCAATCATTATTTCTTCAAAAAGGTATTCAATTTCTTTCTCTCTCCTCCTTCTGGTACCCCTATGATGTGAATGTTGGTATACCTGATGTTGTCCCAGAGGCCCCATAAACTATCCTCATTTTTTGGATTATTTTTCCTTTTTGCTGTTCTGATTGAGTGTTTTCTGCTACTTTATCTTCTTTTTATAAAAACTTTATTGGGGAACAGCCATGGTCATTGGTTACACATTGCTTTCATGCTACAATGGCATAGTTGACGCTTTTAAGGAGGGTGCAACTCACAGTGGCCCATGCCGGGATCGAACTGGCAATCTTGGTGTTATCAGCATGACGCTCTAACCAACTGAGCCAACCGGTCACCCTACTTTATCTTTTAAATCACTGATTTGATTCTCTGCTTCATGTAATCTATTGATTCCCTGTAATGTATTCTTTATTTTAGTTACTGTATTTTTCATTTCTGAATGGCTCTTTTTTATGTTTTTTCTCTCCATTTTTATATTTCCTATTTCCTTGTTAAAGTTCTCACTGAGTTCACCTACTCTTCTCCTAAGTTCATTGAGCATCCTTAACCAGTGTTTTGAACTCTGTGTCTGGTAGATTGCTTGTCTCCATTTTGTTTAGTTCTTTTCCTGGAGCTTTGTTCTGTTCTTTCATTTGGGACATGTTTCTTTGTCTCCCCATTTTGCCTGCCTCCCTGTGTTTGTTCCTATGTATTAGGTAGGGCTGCTATGTCTCCCAGTCTGAGTAGAGTGTCTTTATGTAGTAGGTGTCCTGTGGAGCCCAGTGGTACAGTCTCCCTGGTCACCTGAGCCGGGTGCTCCAGGTGTGTCCCTTGTGTGGGTTGTGTGTGCCCTCCTGTTGTAGCTGAGCCTTGTTTTCTGTTTTCATGTCAATGGGAGGGATTGACCCTCAGGCTGATTAGGTGTGAGGACTGGCCATGACTACAGTGGAGGAGCTATGGTGCAGGGGTTGACACTACAGAGCAGGCTTCACCTTAGCACAGCTCTGGTGCCTGCCCAATCTGCCCTTTGGGTGTGTTGCCTGCAGAGGCCGGTGGGTGGTGTACTGGCTTGGTCTGAAGCTGGCCACCAGGAGTGCTGGCCATACAGCCTCCTGTGAGGGGCCCCACCGCAGGCCAAGTTCAGCTGCAGCCTGCGCCCTTTCTGGGGTCACCTGGCATGAACCGCAAAGCAGTGTGCAGGTGGCAGCCACCAACGCTGGGCTTGGAGGTGCCTGAGAGAGACTAAGCCATGAACCAAAGCTGGCTGCTGCTAGTGCTGGGCTGGACTGCTCAGCCAGAGGTGTGGAGCATGCCAAGGGTAGATGCTGCTTGTTTGGGTTTTGTGAACATTTGAGAGATTTTAGGAAAGTGCAGCATGCACCAAGACAGACCATTTGTATGGAAAAGTCACTGGAAGCCACTTGAGTAGATCTGCAAATTGGATGGGACGGGGGTCTCAGAATTACCAGGGTGGGGTGAACAGTGTTAGCCATGTTGATGGAGATTCAGTTATGGTGGTTGCCTGCCTCTGCAAGCAGGGAGGGGGGAGGACTCAACAAAGCAACAATGGACTCTGCCAGCTCATCTGCTTGAGAGAAAGCTACTCCTCCATCCCTTGTCCTGAAGCCAGACAATTCAATTCCCCCCTGTATGTCCCTGGCACCTTTCTAGTTGCTGCCCCGGCACTGGAGCTCAGAGTGAGTGAGTCCATCAGTGAGCAAGTCCATGTGTGGGCCCTTTAAGAGGAGCATCTGCGACTGCAGCTGCCCTTGTCTCACTCAGCCACAATCTTCACTGGTTTTCACAGCGAGAAGTTGTGGGTGCTTTTCCTGGCACTAGAACCCTGGAGGTGGGGTTGGAACCCCTCCCTCCTCTGGGGGGACCTCCGTAGCTAAGATATCTCACTGTCAGACGTGTGTGTGGGACCAGCTTCTTCTGCATCTCTGTCCTTCCTACAAGTCTCAAGGTGGCTTCTTCTCTATGTCCTTAGTTGTGAGACTTCTGTTCAGCTAGACTTTAGGTAATTCTCAATGGTGGTGGTTCTGTAGTTTAGTTGTAATTTTGATGTGGTCATGAGAGGAGGCAAGCACAGTGTTTACCTACTCTGCCATCTTGACTGGAACTTCTCAGGCTTTGTTTAGATATCACACCTCTCTAAAACCAACACTGCAGTCTTCACAGGCTCTTAGCAAAGTGACCTGTCCCTGAAAACCCAAAGATATAAGGGAAAACAAATATAGGTGGAATCCTACCATATGTCAAATGTATTTTGGGGTTTCTAGTGTCTCTTCAGATCCCATGGGTCAGAGAGAGGTTTCCGGCCCCTTCTGCACTTAATATCTGTCTTAAATCTGATATTATAATGAATTCTAAGAGTCAGGGTTTTGCCTCTGAAATGAATTTGTTTCTCAGGTTATGTCCCAGTTCCCTTGAAACAAAGAAACCCTTGTAGAAAGTAGGACCTCTGTGAACAGGAGTTTAACTTGGAAGAGAGCACCCCTCTGACCTTAGACCTTTCTGCAGAGCTTCAGAGCAGAGGCAGAAGAGCTCAGAAGGGAGCAGAGCCCAGATTTGCAAGGTTAGAAGCAGTTCTTAATCCCCCTGCCCAGAATGAGTGAGTCTTGGTGATGATGCCACCTCCAGAAGCCACCACACTGTGTGACTGGTGAGGGAAGAGGTTGGGGCCAGCCTTCAGTGAGGTGAACTGGGATGGCCCAGGCGTGGATCACTCAGGATAAGCCACTTCATTGGAGAGCTTGTGAGAACGAGGTCTGGGGATAAGGGGCAATTAGACAGGGGGAAATTCTGCCTGCACTGTCCCTGAACAGCCCCCATTCTTTACAGATGCTGTGCTGCTGTCACCCATGTTCATCACATGTGACAGTACTGACATTATCCAGACCTCACAGGATCCCAGAATCATGATACAGGAAGAGTTTTCCAAGACCATCAATTTCTGACTCTCTTGAAGGTTTTAAAGACATTGATCCTGAAAGGTTCATGACTTGTCCAGGGAAATTCAGTTTGTTTATGACATAGTCAAGAGGAAAACATTTCTCTCTCCCACAGGTAAGTCACCAAACGCATTGTATCAAAAGGGCCTTTTGAGAAATACTACATTGAAGCTGAAGCAAACAATGAAAAATTCCTGTCTTAAAGCATTCCATCTCTTTCATTAGGCTTTCTGTGGATTGTCTATATCAGGGGTAAATAATGTACTGAGAAAAATAGATAAAATCTGCATACTGAGTATTTTCCTGCTGAGTTAATCTTAATGAAAGAATACTGTCCTATCCTTTGGTGTAATTGAATTCAACTAATCCTCTGTATTTATTTCTTTGTGTTATTCAAAAGGACACATGCATTATTGTTAATCAAGAAAAGTTTATGTCCACTCAGGAAAAAGCTGCCGATTTGAGCCCCACGGTCATTTCAGAGTCACACAAAGGTGGTGCTACCTGGTGGTTATCCTTCTTATGCCTGTGCCTCACAGGGAAGTTGATCGTCAACTAGAGTATGACATTTGGGGAGGTGACTCTAGAAGCCAAAAGGCAGCCCAAATCTTGTGACCCCTGTCTTCTTTCTGTTCCCTCAGCTGACCCCCAGTTCTCTACACTCTCCCAAGAGCCACAGAAAATGGACACACCTCAGGTGAGCTCTTTATTCACTCCCCTCTTTATATTCTAATGGATTCATGAGGTTGCCAAGGGTCCATGCATTACCTGGGAAAAGAGAAATAGAAATAGATCAAATCAGTCTTGAGGGAAAATAGACACCATTTTACCATTAACTGTGATGTTTGCTGTCAGCTCTTGGTAGGTAGCTTTTGTCAGGGTAAGTAGGTTCCCTTCAGGTGCTATTTTGCTAAGATTTCACATTGGTCATGAATGTGCACTGAATTATATTGAATATCGTTTTGTGTATCTATTGAAATAAAGCTATAGTTTATTTCCTTTATAAATATTGTAAACAATATAATGGGTTTTCTAATATTAACTTGAATTTCTGTATAGACCCTAGTTGCTAATAGAGTGATTAAGTTGCTTTTTTACAGGTTTTCCTAGGGTTTTTTGCTATACTATATTTAGGATTTTTTTTCTGTATCCATAAGTTGGATTGGACTACTTTTTTTTTTTTTAAGATTTTTATTGGGGAATTGGGGGGATGGGAACAGTGCTGGGGAATTGGGGGAAGGGAAACAGACAAGTTGCTGTCGTTTTGTTCTTCAATCTAGTTGTGGAGGACGTTGCTTCACTGGCCCAAGTTGGCACCATCATTGCGCTCTTCTGAGGCAGATCAGTTGCCGGCTTCTGGACGGCCGCTCACTGCAGCTGCTGGCTGCTCACGCTGGCTGCTGGCTACACACGGTAGCCCATGGCAACCCACTGCCACAGCGGCTGCAGCCTACGCCGTCGCTGGTGACTCACGGCAATCCAGCTCCAGGTTGAGCTGTTGTTCAGCATCTTAGCTGTGGAGGGCATTGTCACTGGCCCTCATATGTGGGATCCGAACCGGGGCCCTCTGGCATCCCAAGCCAGTTCTTAACCATCGCGCCACTCGGCCGGCCCTGGACTACTTTTTTATTAAGATACAATTGACATATGACATTGTGTAAGTTTAAGGTGTACGATGTGTTGGGTTGATACGTTTGTCTATTGCAGTATGATTATTACACTAGCATTTGCTAACATCTTTATCATGTCACATAATTATATTTTTCCACGTGTTGAGGACAGTTACTAATTAGTCTCTTAGCAACTTTAACATTTACAAGTATAATGTAGTATTGTTGACTATAATTACTGTGTTGTATATTAGATCTCCAGAATTTATTCATCTACTAGTCACAAGTTTTAGACTATACTTTCTTGTTTCTCTGTCCAATTGTGGTCATAGTCTCATAAAAGGAAATGGGGCACTCATAAAAGGAAAGTTGTGTTATGTGTAGATTCTGTGAAACTCACCTATAAATTTGGACCTTGTGAGGACTTGCTGCATGAACATTTTGATTATTAAATTAATTTATTAGTGGTAAATCTATACTAGATTTGTATTTGTGTTTGTCTTATTATAACTTATTATCATTACATTTACATAGAAAATTATTCATTTCTATTTTGTTTTTAAATGTATTTTTATAAGCTCATTGATAGTATTGTATTGTGTTAGGAATCCAAGGTCTTTATCTGTTATATCAGTAACTTCCTTTTGTTTGATCAGGTTTCAAATTTTATTTTGTTGTAAAGGCTGCTAATCAGTAAAAGACAAAATATGTTCCAGGTGGCTCAGTCTGAAACCTAGAATTTCAGGGTTTCAGAGTCTTGATATTTTGTGCTGGTACTGGACTCTAAATATTGGGAGTATAGGAACATACATTTGCCACATTTATGCCCTCTACCTTTGCATACCCACCTGGGAGCACCATCTCGTGACAAGAACATACTTTCTACATTGAATTGCCTTGGCACCTCTGTGGGAAATCAGTTAGCATATGGATCTGTTTCTAGAATCTGTTCACTTTTGATAATCTATATTAATCCTTTTGCTAATACCACATGGTCTTGATGAGTATCTCTTTACAGTAAGTCTTGAAATCAAGTAATGCGAACTTTCTAACTTTGTTCTTCTTAAAAATTGTTTTGGATATTCTAGGTCCTTTGCATCTTTATAGAAAGCTTTAAAAAATAATCTATCTCAAAAGCTTGCTGAGATTTTAATTTCGATTGCACTGAATCCATAGAATGTATAGTATAGGTCAGTTTGGAGATCTTGGTCATATTGAGTCTTCCAATTCATGAACACAGAAGCTGTCTTCATTTAATTAGGTGGTGATATGGAGGGTTTTTGAAGGTTTTGTTTTTTATCCATTTGAGTCAAAAGGATAGTTTTGACTTACAGTTTAAAAGAATAACTCTGTCTGCTGTTGAAGATAGACTCTAATGGGGCAGTGGTGGAAGCAGGAACAATATAGGAGTCTATTTCCATTATCCTAGAAAGAAATGGTGACCATAAGCGTGTTAACCGTTTTTTTGAAGTGCCTAGAGTCTGCATTTAATGTAAAGTAGGATCAATACACTTTGCGAGGAGCATAAATGTCTAATCGTTATGTTGTTTTATATACCTGAAACTAATATAAAAAAATAAAAAATAAAGTAAGGCCAACAATTTCAGAGTGCCAGTTTCTTTCTCACAACCTTGCAAATAAGAGCATGCTGTCAAGCTTTTTGAATTCTTAAACCAATGTGATTTAAAAAATGATACCTTGGTTTAGTTTTATAAGCTTTTCTCACGAGTGACGTGGAACGTCTTTTTTTGTTTGTAACTCATATTTCTTTTTTGTTGAACTGTTTATCCTTCACTGATTTTTCCATTGATGTGCTGATTTTAATTAATGTATCCAGTGCATTTTATAACCTTTTTCCATGATATAAATTGTACAATTTTCCTACAGTTTTTATATTTTTGTCTTGCTCAGGATTTCTTTTCTTTTCTTTTTTTGCCATAAAGACATTTGATTTTTATGTTGTCAAATTTAGCAGTTTTCTTCTTTTATGATTCCTGGATTTTGTCATAGCTGAGCATTTTCCCACTCTAACATTGTAACAGATGTGTTCTGTGTAGTCTTCTAGGATGTGATTGATTTTATTTTTTACATTTAGACCTTGAATAAATTTTAATTTTATCCTGTACTGTGGTGTGAGGTTTAGATCTAACTCTCTTTTCCCAGATGGCCACCTAGTTATCCCTATGATATTTATGTCCAGCCTTTTTTCACTCATTTGAGATGTCACCTGTATTCAGATAGGAAATGTACTCTGCTAATTACTCTTCCCACTACACACTTTGTTGTAGGGCTTGTTCAGTTAAGCTTGGATTTCCTTCTGGGCTGTCATCAGTGCCCTGCTCCTTCTGTCCAGTTCGATGTTTGTATTTGTTTGTGGGCAACATTGCCCAGCTTTTGTTATCTAATACTATCTTACCCTCTATCTTCCAGAATTTGTTCAAATACTGGGGCCTTCTGCTGGGACATTTCTTTGTATTCCTCTTTTTTTTTTTTTTTTAAAGATTTTATTGGGGAATTGGGGGAGGGGAACAGCATTGGGGAATCGGGGAATGGGAACAGACAAGTTGCTGTCCTTTTGTTCTTCAGTCTAGTTGTGGAGGACGTTGCTTCACTGGCCCATGTTGGTATTATCATTGCGCTCTTCCCGGGTGAGGCAGTCGCTCGCCGGCTATTGGACGGCAGCTCACCAAAGTGCATGCTAACTGCCAGCCAGCCCCACTGCAGCCTATGCCATCGCCAGCGACTCACGGCTGCCCAGCTCCAGGTTGAGCTGTTGTTCACCATCTTAGCTGTAGAGGGCACAGCGTCACTGGCCTGCATGTGGGATCTGAACCGGGGCCCTGCTGCTCAGAGCTGGCGTCCCAAGCCAACTCTTAACCAATGCGCCATTCGGCAGGGCCTGTATTCCTCTTTTGTCATACATTTATAGTAGGTTCTCTGTTTTACCTAAGTGTGTTTACCTAAATGTGTGTGCTCAGTCAGTTCCCTTGAACTAGAGGAATCATGTATGCTTGTAATTCTCTCTTTTAATTTCTAATATTCTAATCTTTCTGATTTCTCTTTCCATCATTTAGAAATTCTTTCTCAGCTTTTATGGCCTATTCTTTTTCTACCTACCTCTTAAATTTTGTAATTCCCTTGAATTGTATACTTGGTTCTTTTCTCTCCTTGGTTTCTATGTCCTTTCTGAGCCAGCTCTTTCTCTGGTGACTTCAGTTACCATCTTGATGACTAATTTCTCCTAAATCCTTATTTTCATTTTAGACTTTCCTTCTTTGTTCCAAATTCATGCAACCAACAGTGAAATAATTCTATCACATATGGAAATAAATAGTTCCACAGGTGTTTTAAGTGTGTATGAAGAACGTCTGCCTGACTGAGACCAAAAATTGGACTCGCTTAGTTCTTCCAGTCTGTGTATGGCATCAGCCTCTACCCAGTTGTTTGTACAGCATCTCTCTGTGTAACTGCACAAGAAAATAATGACTGGATTTTGTTTCCTATAAGGATTGGTTTCCCATTCTTTATTTTTGTTGCATTGCCGTAATATAGGTCATCTCTCTCTCTCTTTTTTTTTTTAAATTTATTGGGGAACAGTGTGTTTTTCCAGGACCCATCAGCTCCAAGTCCAGTTGCCAGTTTCAGTCTAGTTAGGGGAGGCACAGACCACCATCTCATGCTGGAATCAAACCGGCAACCTAGTTGTTCAGAGCACGCCCTCTAACCAACTGAGCTACCCGGCCGGCCGTCCCTACATAATCTTTTGATTTGGGTTTTTTTTGCTGCTTAAGAAATTGTCTGTTCATACAGAGCAATGGTTCCTAAGTAGGGTCGATTTTGCTTCCCAGGAGACATTTGGCAGTGTTTGGAGATTTATTTTTTATTGAGTTATAATTGAAATATAATATTATATTAGTCTCAGGTATACAACATAGCGATTCAATATTTTTATACATTATGAAACGATAATCATGATAAACCTAATTACCATGTCACTATAAAAAATATAGTTATGTTATTCCCTATGCAGTACATTACATCCATGACTTACTTATTTTATAACTGCAAGTTTGTACCTCTTAATCCCCTTCACCCATTTCACCCACCGTCCCCTCCCCTCTGGTAGCCACCAGTTTGTTTTCTTTATCTATGAGTCTGTTTCTGTTTTGTTCTGTTTGTTCATTTGTTTGTTTCTTAGATTCTACATGTAAGTGAAATCATACAGTATTTGTCATACTCTATCTAACTTATTTCACTTAGCATAGTATCCTCTAGGTCCATCCATGTTGTCACAGATGGCAAGATTTTATTCTTTTTTATGACTGAGTAATATTCCAGAGTGTGTGTGTGTGTGTGTGTGCGCGCGTGTGCGTGTGTGTGTGTGTGTGTGTGTGTGTGTGTGTGTGTGTTATGTTGTATGTGTATTCCATATCTTTTTTTATCCATTCATCTATCAGTGGACACTGAGGTTGCTTCCATATCTTAGCTATTGTAAACAATGCTGCCATGAACATAGGGGTACATGTATCTTTTCAAATTAGTGTTTTCCTTTTCTTCAGATAAATACCCAAAAGTGATATTGCTGGGTCATATGGTAGTTTTATTGTTAATATTTTGAGGAAACTGTGTAGAGATATTTTTGATTGTCACAACTGGGGATGCTACTTGCATCTAATCAGTAGAAGACAGGGTTACTGATGAACATCCTAAAATACACAGGGCAGTGTTACTCCAAAATAGTGTTATCTGGTCTACAGTGTTAGTATTGCCAAAATGAAGAAAACATGTTCTAGAGCATTGCTCCAGAAACATAAATCTGGTGGTGTGTAATACCTCCTGGGCTTACGAGGTGTGATAAAAAAATATGGTGAATGTTTATTTTTATTTTTAATTTTTTTTAGCTGAGCCATCCTGCCACCTGTTGGCAGCTCAGTGGCAGCTCAGCTTCGGCCGGAAATTGAACCGGCGACCCTGTTGCTCAGAGCCTGCAATCTTGAGCGAACTCCTAACCAACAGAGCCACTTGGCCGGCCCTAATACGGTGAATGTTTAAATTAAAAAGTTTATTATAGTAAAAGACACATCGCCATTAATCCCCCTCAAAATACTCCCCCTTGCTTTGAACACACTTATCCCACTGTTCTTGCCACTTTCTGAGGCAGTTTTGGAAGTCCTCTTTTGTGAGTGTCTTTAGTTGCACTGTTATGGCTGCCTCGATGTCCTGAATCGATTCAAAACATTTACCTTTCATGGTCATTTTGACTTTAGGGAAGAGCCAGCAGTTGCACAGTGCCAGATTCGGTGAATAAGGTGGATGAGGATACACCGTAATGTTTTCATTTGACAGAAATTACCATATACCAGAAGCAATGTGTGACATGAAGCATTGTCATGGTGGAGGATGAAACCGTTTGTCCATTTCATGTTAATGTGTTGTTCGTGATTCATGATTTATGGCACACTTTAAAACATACGTCTCAACCATAGCTCATACCCGACTGACTGCACTGAACAAGTGGAAACTTGTCACACACTGTTACTAAGGTTCGACACGTTGCTTCCTGTATTGAAGATCCTTGCCTTCCCATTGGGTGGCACTTGGCAGCAGTATTCACCGTATTTTGTGATCACAATGGAAAGGCTCTGTGTTACACATTGCTTCTGGTAAACAGCAATTTCTGTCAAATAAAAACATTACAGTGTGTCCTCATCCACCTTATTCACCAGATCTTGCACCGTGCGACTTCTGGCTCTTCCCCAAAGTCAAAATGATTCAGGTCGTTGAGGCAGCCATGACAGAGCAACTAAAGACACTCATGAAAGAGGACTTCCAGAACTGCTTCAGAAAGTGGCAAGAATGATGGGATAAGTGTGTTTGAAGTGGGGGGGGGAGTATTTTAAGGGGGAATAATGGCAATGTGTCTTTTACTGTAATACATTTTTGTTCATTTAAACACTCACCATATTGTTTGATCACACCTCATACATGTCTGTCTTCATTGGTTCCCCATTACCCCAGCAGAGAACTCCAGGTTGGGGCATGTTTACTCTCCAGAGTGCTCAGCATAATCCAATGGTGTATGGAAAATATATACAGGAATTCTATTTTATTAACTTTACCTAAAAATATAAGGTACTAAGCTTTCTCATTATATTAAGTGACAAAAGGTGTGTATAATTTAAAAATAAATTAAATCAGAGCATGAGAATAATTTTTTTTTTTACTAATTGTGCACATATCCCCAAAGTATAAGAGTTAGGCCCATAATAGTCATCTCTTACAGCATTAAAAAAACAACACAAAACTCTATAGACAGTAAATATATTGAGTTAGTTTCCAAAACTGTTTTCTATGTCCCTGATTCTGGGCCCTGAGATTGATTAGAAATGTGCTATTACAGGCCTCAGTGTCCTTCAAGGACGTGTCTGTGGAGCTCACCAAGGAGGAGTGGCAGCAGATGGACTCAACTCAGAGGGCCCTCTACAGAGATGTGATGCTGGAGACCTACAGCCACCTCGTCTCCGTGGGTGAGCAGACCTGACCACCTGACTGCCTCTAGTATGCAATTCTGTTTTTCATTTTTAAATGTTAATCATTTTTGTTGAGGGGCATTTAACAGAAAATAAAATTCAGCACTTTTCAGTGTACAAGTCAATGAGTTTCACCGTCATCAAAACCATGATTTGGAATAGTTCCATCCTCCCAGAAAGATACCTTGTAGCCCTTTGCAGTGAGTTCCCTCCCTCCATCCTTACCTTTCAGGCCTCTAGCAATCACTGATCTGCTTTCTATTGCAACAATTTTGCCTTTCCTCGAATTTTACATAAATGGAATCATAAAGTATATACCGTATTTGCCGGCGTATAAGACGACTCGGCGTATAAGACGACCCCCTAACATTTCCACTCAAAATACAGAGTTTGTTTATATGGTCGGCTGTGTGCGATTTTGCGAGTGTGGTAAAATCGCATAACAGCAAAATCGCATAACAGCCGAGCATACACCCAGCAGCGCTGCTGATGCCTGAACGGTATGTGGAATGAAGTGGGCGGGCATCGGGAGGCCACTATGGCACGGGGCAAGCACTATGGGCAGTCTATCTGAAGTGTACCTGGTGTATAAAAGACGACCCCCCACTTGGAGGCATATTTTTCAGGGCCAAAAAGTTGTCTTATACGCCGGCAAATACTGTACTTACTGTCTTTTGTCTGGCTTCTTTCATTTAGCTTAATGCTTTTTTGATACTCATGCATGTGTGTGTGTATCACTAGTTTATTCTTTTTACCACAATTTGTTATCTTTTCATTTGATAGACACATGGGTTTTTTTCTAGTTTGGGGCTATTATGAATAAAGCTGCTGTGAACATGCATAGCCAAGTCTTTGTGTCGTTATGTTTTCATTTTTCTTGTGTAAATACCTGAGAGTAAACTCACTAGGTCTTCTGGTAACTTTATATGTAATTTTATAAGGAGCTGCCAAATGTTTAAAGTTGACTGTACTGTTTCTCATGCCTAGAAGTGATGTCTGACAGTTCTCATTCCTCTTTGGTTACCAACATTTGGTTTGGTAAATCTAGTTATTTTTAACCACTATAGTTGGTGTCTACTTATATCTCATTAGGTTTTAATTTGCATTTCCTTGGTGACTAACAATGTTGAACCTCTTTTCATGTGCTTTCTAACCATTCATAATCTCCATTGCTGAAGTGTCTAATGAAATCTTTAATCCATTTTCTGTTTGGTTTAGTTTTTGTTGTTTTGTTTGTTTGTTTTAGGTGGTGGTGTGGAGTTGAAGGAGTCTAGACCTTTAGCAAATAATATTTTGCAAACCCATTTTTCTCCATCTCTGGCTTGCCTTTTCAAGAGGAAAATGTTTTCAAATTGTTTCTGGTTTTTACATCCACTCATGAAAAGAACTTTCTATATGACATAATTATAGATTCACAGGAATTAGCGCAATTGTATTCTTCACAAGTTTTCCCCAATGGTTATATTGTACATGACTGTAGTATAGTCTCAGCACCATTTGTAAATCAATATTGGTACAATGTGTGTGAATAGTTCTATGCCGTTTTATCACATGTGGAGATTCCTGTAACCACCACCACAGTAAAGATACAGAACTATTCTATCACTACAAAGGTTTCTCTCATGCTACCATTTTACAATCATACCCATCCCCTCTCCCATACCATCCCTAATCTCTGCCAACTACTAACATGCCCTTCATCTGATGATTTTGCCATTTCAAGAGCATTATATAAATGGAATAATACAGTATTTGATGTGTTGAGTTTGAGATCCATCCAAATTATAGTGTATATCAATAGTTTATTTCTTTTATTACTACATGGTATTCCATTGTGTGAATGTGTCATAATTTGTTTAGCCATTCACCTATTGAAGGACATTTTGGTTGTTTGTAATTTTTGGCTATTTTAAGTAAGCTGCTATGAACATTCATATTCAAGTTTTTCTTTGAGCATAAATTAGTATTTCTCTGAGATAAATGCCCAGGAGTGTGCTTGTGGTTGTTTGGTAAGTATATATTTTTTATTTTTTGATAAAAATGTATTGGGGTGAAATGGTCAACAAAATGACATAGGTTTCAAGTGCACATTTGTATAATGCAACATCTATGTATTGCATTGTGTGCTCACCACCCAGAGTCAGTTCTCCTTCTGTTACCATATACTTGACCCCCTTTACCCCCTTCTACCTCCCCCCTCACCCTCTGGTAACCACTAAACTGTTGTCTGTGTCTATGAGTTTTTGTTTTTTTATTTGCTTATCTTGTTCCTTTGTTGCCTTCAGTTTTGTTTTTTGTTTTTGATTTTTTTTAGCTGAGCCATCCTGCCACCTGTTGGCAGCTCAGCTCGGGCTGGGCATCAAACCGCTGTTGCTCAGAGCTTGCACTCTTGAGCGAGCTCTTAACCAACTGATGTTGCCTTCAGTTTTATATCCCACATATGAGTGAAGTCATATAGTTCTCGACCTTTTCTGTCTGACATATTTCACTTAGCATAAAAACCTCAAGATCCATCCTTGATGTCGCCAATGGCAGTATTTCATCTTTTCTTATGGCAGAGTTGCATTCCATTGTGTATATGTACCACATCTTCTTTATCCAGTCATCTCTTGAAGGCACTTTGATTGTTTCCATGTCTTGGCCACTGTAAATAATGCTGCAGTGAACATCAGAGTACATATATCTTTACGGATAAATGTTTTCATAATTTTGGGGTATATACCCAGGACATGGATTACTAGGTCATATGGTAATTCTAGTGTTAATTTTTTTTAGAAATGTCCACACTGCCTTCCATAACGACTGCACCAATCTGCATTCCCACCAACAGTGTATGAGGGGTTTTTTTTCTCCACAGGCTCTCCAACACTTATTATTTGTCTTGTTGATGATAGCCATTCTAATTGGTTTGAGGTAATATCTCATTGTGGTTTTGATTTGCATTTCTCTGATGATTAGTGATGTTGAACATCTTTTCGTATGTCTGTTGGTCACCTATATGTCTTCTTGGGAGAAGTTTCTGTTCATATCCTATGCCCATTTTTAAACTGGATTGTTTGTCTTTTGGTTGTTGAGTTGTATGAGTTCTTTATATATTTTGGATATTAGCCCCTTATCTGAGTCTTTCTTTGCAAATATCTTCTCCAATTTGGTTGGTTGCCTCTTTGTTTTGTTGATGGTTTCTTTTGCTGTGCAGAAGCTTTTTAGTTTGATATAGTCCTATTTATTTACTTTAGCTTTTACTTCTTTTGCCTTTGAGGTCAAATTCATAAAATCCTCTTTGAACTCAAGGTCCATAAGGTTAGTAACTGTGTTTTTTTCTATGTAGTTTATTGTTTCAGGTCTTATGTTTTGGTCTTAGATCCATTTTTAGTTAATTTTGGTACATGGTGACAAATAGCAGTCTAGTTTCATTCTTCTGCACGTGGCTTTCCAATTTTCCCAGCACCACTTATTGAAGAGGCTTTTTTTTCTCCATTATACATAAGTTTTTGGCTCCTTTGTCGAAAATTATCTGTTCCTACTTATGTGGGTTTATTTCTGGGTTTTCAGTTCTATTCCATTGGTCTGTGTGTCTGTTTTTCTGCCAATACCATGCTGTTTTGATTATTGTTGTTCTGTAATACAAGCTGAAGTCAGGGCATGTGATATCTCCAGCCTTATTTTATTTTTTTTTCTTAAGAGTGCTTTGGCTCTTTGGGGTGTTTTGTAGCTCCATACAAATCTGATGATTTTTTTGTTCTATTTCTTTAAAAAATGCCATTGGGATTTTGATGGGAGTTGCATTAAATCTGTATATTGCTTTGGGTGATATGGCCATTTTAACTATGTTGATTCTTCCAATCCATGAACACAGAATGTCTTTCCATTTCTTTGTGTCTTCTTCAATTTCTTTTAAAAATGTCTTATAGTTTTCAGTGTATAGGTCCTTCATATCTTTGTTTATTCCTTGGTATTTTATTCTTTTTGTTGCAATTGCAAAAGGAATTGCTTTTTTCATTTCTTTTTGTGAAATTTCATTGTTTATGTAGAAATGCAATTGATTTTTGTACATTGATTTTGTAGCCAGCAACTTTACTGTATTTGTTTATTATTTCTAATAGCTTTTTGGCAGAGTCTTTAGGGTTTTCTAAATAAAGAATCATGTCCTCTGCAAAAAGCGACAATTTAACATCTTCATTCCTAATTCGGAGGCCTTTTTATTTCTTTCTCTTACCTGATTGCTGTCTCTGGCTAGGACCTCCAATACTATGTTGAAAAGTGGTGGTGATTGGGAACATTCCTGTCTTGTTCCTAAATGTAGAGCGAAGGGCTTCAGTTTTTCACCATTAATTATGATATTAACTGAGGGTTTGTCATATATGGCCTTTATTATATTAAGGTATTTTCCTTCTATACCCATTTAATTGAGTGTTTTAATCATAAATGGATGTTATATCTGGTCAGATGCTTTTTCTGCATCTATTGATATAATCATATGATTTTTTTTATAAAGAAGATTTTATTTGGGGAATTGAGGGAGGGGAACAGCGTTGGGGAATCGGGGAAGGGAACAGCCAAGTTTTTGTCCTTCGATCTTAGTTGTGGAGGGTACAGATAGCTCAGCTTCAAGTCCAGTCACCATCCGGCCGCCCGGCAGCAGCTTGTGGCTGCTCTGCTCAAGGTGCCGTGTTCAATCTTACTTGCAGATAGGCGTAGCCCACCATCTCATGCAGGCCTCAGACCAGCAACCTTGTTGTTAGGAACACGTGCTCTCACCAGCTGAGCCATCCTGCCACCTGTTGGCAGCTCCGTGGCAGTTCAGCTTGGGCAAAGCTTACTGGCCTATGTGGGAATCCAACCAGCGACACTGTTGCTCAGAGCTCACTCTCCTAACCAACTGAGCCACTCGGCCAGCCCCTTGTGTCTTTTTTTTTTTTATCTTAGTGAGTCTAGCCAACAGTTTTTCAACTTTATTAATCTTTTCAAAGAACCAGCTCTTTGTTGCATTAATTTTT